GATCAACTAGCGCAATCCACATCAAGTTCTCAAACCACCCAGAAGTTCGAGTCAGGGAGGGGCCTTTCAGGCTCCAGGGAACGTCTCATCTGTGAGAACATATTTGGATGAAACAAGTCAAACATTTGTAATTTTCACTTAACATTTATTTCACAAGTTTCTCAAGCGCTAAGCAACTGAGATGCATCATTCCAACGTACTTTGATCAATAAACATTAAACAAGTCTGCTCAGAACACCTAAGCCCGACCAATACATCTTCGAAATAGATGACAAGGAAAATAGCAAAAACAAAATACGTAACCTTTTGACAGGCAGAAAGGTGTTTAAGAGATCTAAAGTCAGACAAAAAAGCCCTTTCAGCAGATGAACAAACAGTTTCCTTTGCAAGTGACACATTCTGGGATATTTATAATGCCAAACACAACTCATAATGACAACCACCAACGAAGCAAACCCTAATGGAAAAACCCCAAGCTGGCAACCAGCAACCTGGTTCTGGTCCCAGGACAGGCTTCTGGTTGTGTGACCCACCACAGTGGCGGCCAGCGATGCCCTATCCCTTGCCGCGAACAGGAACACCCATCCCCACCTACATCACTCTGATATGTTTTGATGGCAAAAACTTTTTTACAAAGAAGCAGTAAAGTGCTGGAGAGATAGCACTGTGGGTACAGTGCTGGTCTTGCAGGTGACAGACAACCCAGGTTCAATCCCCAGCATCCCATATAGGTATATAGGTGCCCCCGAGGACTGCCAGGAAAGATTCCTGAGTACAGAGCCAGGAGTAACCCCTGAGTATCACCAGGTGTGCCATTCCCACCCCACCCCACCCCCCAAAAAAAACTTAAAAAAAGAGGTGAAAAATCTTTGGAATTTGAAATGTATCCTCCATAAATATAAAATATCATGGGATCATGGGGAAATAAGTGGCACGCGTATTAGCAGGGAAAGGCAGTTCTGACTGGCAAGTTTTAATCTGGGTCGAGGACTCATACATGAACCACATGTGCTTTCTGGAAAGGAGTTCAGAGCTTGTTATCAGATTCCAGAAGTTATGAATCTCGAAGCCCCTCAATTTACAGATATGAAAACTGAGTCCCTAAAGTAGACCTGTTGCCTTAGGCCCTGAGATGAAACAGGGGAAGGTTGGTCGAGGCCCAGGCCCTCATCTCCATCCACACTGCTCCTGCTTTTCCCATCCCATTTCCAAGGCACACAGAGCATAACACACAAGCCATGTGATGTCTAAAATGACACAGACTTTCTATCGCTACTTGCCTGTCCCCTTTTCCCTCTTGTTGCTATTATTGGTTTTGCTTTTGGTTTTTGTTTGGGGGCCATACCCAGCAGTGCCCAGGGCTTACTCCTCTATACTCAAAGGTTCACTCTTGGCAGGGCTCAGGGGATCCAACGGGGTGCCAGGGATCAAACCTCGGTCAGCCACATGCAAGGCACGTGCCCTACGCACTGTACTACCACCCCAGCCCTTTTTGCTATTATTATCTCAAGCAGTTTAGTGGTGCGAGGGACCTACCCCAGCCATACCCAGCAGTGCCGGACTGGAATGGCACATGGTGCTGGGGACTAAACTCAGAGCCTCTCATGCCAGCCAAAGCACGTGCTGGCTCTGACAAGTGAGCCCCATCTGGAACTCTTATTTTCCCTAAGGCTTCTTGCTGAAAGTTGATAGTTGAAACAGTATTCATTACTGTAGTCTCATTTCTATTCAGTTCAGTGCTTGGAGCTGGGAAATATGTTATCTTTTAATATAGAAGATATTTTTTTAACTAAAAGTAGTTATATGTCAATTACAGTTCAGTTAAAAAAAATTTAATTCTAGGAAATAAGAAGAGTACATGGTACACTGTTTTCTCAAACAGACATGCAATCATGAAAAACCAGGTGATCCATAATTTGAGAGGTGCTTTTCAGTTTCACTTGGGTTTTTAATCAATATACTAAAATTGGTGCTCTTAGATAAGCTTTGCCAACTAAGAAAGTTACCTTTGAAACTCTGTAAGTTCAAAGTTACTTTTGGAACTACACAAATGCCAAGAATGTTGCAATGCACAGAATACTTCCAGAATTCTTCTGTTGAGACTCTCTCAGTCAGCAAACATAGCGTAATTATCTGAATACTGAAACCTTGGTGCAATTCCTTTAGTGTCCACAGGGACCCCCACAGACACCCTGAGCAGTCTCCGTTTTCAGGTATGTGAACAATCGCTGGCAAGTCTCAGAGAAAGAACCCTCCACCTGAGGAATGCAAACTGACTTCACTAGCACAACTGCCTCGCCTTCAGGTATGCAGCTGCAGTTCCCAGCAGCGCACTGGAAAAAAACTAAGCCAGCACTGCACCACGTGACTGTGGTCATTACCCCCGTAATCTGCAGGGTGGCCTCACAAAGCTGCCATTACAATCAGATGGCAGATAAGGCAGGCCCCAGTCAGCTGGGACGTTCAGGTGAGCGTGAGCGTGGCCGGAAAGCAGCTGGGAAACGCCTTTGTCATCTCTGCACACCATTTCTGTTATTAAGGCCTCTATGGGACATTACATATTCCGTAACACCCCAGAAATAACTGATGACCCTGTCTCTAACTCCGCCACACGGACTTTCCAACGAAAGGACCCTCTGTTCCCACTCCAGAGCCAGAGAGCCTAGGAGATGGGGACCAGGCACAGAGGGGAAAGACAATCTTATCTCCCAGCGGCAGGCTGTGCTTGAAACCCAGATACTGCTTTTTAGCTGTGCATCTCCCTAGATCTAAACAGTAGGAGGCGTTCCTACCCTTGAGACTCAAGTAAATAAAGCATGAAGGAAGAATACCATTTCCATTCAGATGAGTTGTTATTCTCTCAAAAAAAAAAAAAAATGAATAAAGAGTGCAGAGCTCAGCAAACCTCTACCTTACTTTCCCGAGTAGTAAATATCGCCAACCTGAATGGTCAGTTTCTTGAAAGCGCCAAGGCACTTGACAAAAACAAAAACACAACACAGAAAAGTGGGCGATGTAGCAGCCTCGGAAGACGGGGCTCACCCAGGAGGTTGCTGAAACGCTAAAATCAAGTTCTAAACGTTTGCACATCGAGTTTCCCCGGAGGGGATCAAGTGAGCCCCAGGCTGCGTCTCTAAGAGGCGGCTGCAGTCAGGCCTTCACATCAAGCGAGACTCGGGCCGAAGAAAGCACAAGGCTGGCTTCCAGCAGCGCCCACCTGGTCGCTTCCGTGCCCCCGGGCCCTCCCGCAGGAGGGCGCAGGAGGGCGGGAGCAGAAGTGCAGGCTGCAGGGGGAAGTGCAGAGGCCGCAGCACAGCAGCACAACTCGGCTGTGAGCCACTGGCCCGGGCTCCAGCTCTGCCTCAGGGCAGTGTGCGCCTGCGGGGTGGAGCGACTCCAGCGCAGCTGCGGACCCCCGGGGCCAAGGCAAGGGGGCTGAGGGGCGAGCCTCAGCGGGCGAGGCGAACTGCAGCAAGCGCGCCCCCCACACCTCGGGCCCACCTGACTCCGAGGCCCCCCGGGAAAAGAAGAGCCCTGCGCCCACCAGCCCTAACCTCGCTAGCTGCCCCTGTCCCCCGCCCCCAGACCCCTGCAGGCTGGGAAGTCCAGAGCCTTGGGAGGACACCCGGTTTCCTTGAGGCAGGGCAGTGGGGAGAAACTGGGGGGGGGCAAGTGCACCACCCCCACCCCCGACCCACCCCTGCCCCCAGCCAAGCTCGCCAGGGCTGCGCCCCTCCACCCACCCCCGCGAGAGGGCAGGAAGTGGAGGAGCGGGCAAGTAGCGCCCCCAAAGAAACGCCTCCGCCCCCCCAGGACTCCCCACCCCGCTGCCCACCCTCCCTCACGCCCTCAGGGCGTCCTCCCAGGTCTCCCGGTGACACCAATCGGGTCCTGCTGGTCCTGCTGCGAGGCCAGGCTCAGACACACTCTCACACTCACACTCGCACACTCACACCTCACACCCACGCACTAGCCCATTCACATGCTCTCACGCTCACACCCACTCACACACAACCACTCACACCCTCACACCCCTCACATCCACTCACACCCACCCTCAGGCACTCTCACACTCACACCCACACTCACCTCACACACTCCCATCCTCTCACTCGCAAACACACCCACTCTCACACTCACACCCAAGCTCGCACTCACAGCCAACACCCACTCACTCCCACGTTCACACACACGCTCGCACCCACTCACGCTCACACACGCCCTCACGCTCGCACCCTCACACGCTCCGCCCTCACGCCCTCACCCGCGCACCCTCACCCTCACTCTCACACTCGCACCCACTCGCACTCGCAGTCTCCCACTCAGCCACGGTCTCACTCACACACCCTCGCACGCACTCACACTCTCACCTCACACCCTCACGCCCTCACTCACACCCACTCACACTCGCGCTCTCAGTCACGCACTCCACTCACCCACGAGCTCACTCACACACTCACACACCCTCACACTCGCACCCTCACCCTCACCCTCACTCTCACACTCGCACCCACTCACACTCGCACTCACACTCAGTCTCACGCTCAACTCACCCACGAGCTCACTCACACACCCTCACACTCGCACCCTCACCCTCACACTCGCACCCACTCACACTCGCACTCTCACACTCAGTCTCACACTCCACTCCCCCACGAGCTCACTCACACACCCTCACACTCGCACCCTCACCCTCACACCCACTCACACTCGCGCTCTCAGTCACGCACTCCACTCACCCACGAGCTCACCCTCACCCTCACACTCGCACCCACTCGCACTCACACTCTCAGTCTCACACTCCACTCCCCCACGAGCTCACTCACGCCCTCACGCGCTCCCCCGCCCCCGCCCCCACGGGGCCAGGAAGTTGGGCGCGCGGCCCGTCGAGCTCCCCGCGGACTCCGGCCGGCCGGCCGCCCTGACAGGGCGCGGGCCCGGCGGCCGACGGCGCCCCGCGTCCCCCCTCGGCGGCGCCAACCGCCCGGCGCGCCCCTCACCTCGGCCGCCGCTCGCCCGCCGACCCGCGAACTGCGCTGCGGCCGCGACGACGCCTCCGGCCCGGCCGCTGCTGCGACGCTCCCGCTCCCGCCCGCCCGCTCGGCGCCGGCGCCAGCCCTCGCTCCGGCCGCGCTCACCGCCCTGCCCTGCCCCGTCGCGGCCGCTTCTGCCGCCAGCGCGCGGCGCCCCGCCCCCGGCGCGCCCGCTGGGCTCGCCCCATTGGCTGCGGGGGCGAGGCCCCGCCCCGGGCCCCTCCGGCGCCCCTGATTGGCTCGCGGGAGCCGAGGGGCGGCGCCCCGGAGCGCGCAAAGCCGCCTCCCGGGCGCGCCATTTGCGAGCCCCCTTGTCAATCAAAGGGGTCCCGGCTGAAGTTTCCGAGCGGACGGCGAGGGTCGCTCTCCTGGCGTTGCGCCAGGGGTGGTCCCCGGGCTAAGTTCCCCCGCTCGGCCGGCGCCCTGGGGTCAGCAGGAAGGGGTGGCGGGGCAATACCGCACCTATCAGGGACTTAAGGAAAACTAACGTTTCTTTTTTTCTTTCTTTTTTTTTTTTTTTTGGAAAACTAATGTTTCTGCAAAGTTTCCTCTCCTGAGCATTTGGAGACGCCGAAGTGAGGCTTTGCTCTGAGTCATAGATGCTCTGCTTGTGCCGCCTTCGTTTAAGCGGGCAGTGGGGTGACGCGCGTGTGTGTGTGTGTGTGTGTGTGTGTGTGTGGTTCAAGGAGAAAGGGATTCTTTTTTGTCTTTTTTTTTTTTTTTTTTTTTTTTTTTGCTGGCAGGGAGGAAGGGGATACCACCCAGCAGTGCTCAGGGGTTATTTATTCCTGGCTCTGTGCTCAGGAGTGACCCCTGGCGGTGCTCACTTAGACCATATGCAGTGCCGGGGTCTGGGTCTGCAGCACGTCCGAAAAATACACCTTAACCCCTGTCCTACCTCTCCAGCCAGAACTCACTTTATTTCTCACTTTTTTTTTTAAATTTCTCACTCTTAAGATAACCTTGATTGATGCAGTAATAGTGCCATTCTACAGTGAACAGCTGAACTCTCACCAAAATTTACTGGGCATATCCTGGGTACTGCTTCCAGTAAATCCTAGGTAGTAGTGGGACACGTGTGAGGGTAGACCCTTGAGACTGGCCAGGAGGTGACCCAGAGTCCTGAGAAATAGCAGAGTCAGAATTAGAATCGAGATTAGTTTGACACCCTATGGCAACCTGGAAATGTTTTGGTGGGTTTTGTTTGGTTTGTTTTTTGTTTTGTTTTGTTTTGTTTCTTTTTTGTCACATCCAGCGATGCTCAGGGGTTACTCCTGACTCTGCACTCAGGAATTACTCCTGGTGGTGCTCAGTGGACCATATGGGATACTGGGAATCGAACCTGGGTCGGCCGCGTGCAAGGCAAACGCCCTACTTGCTGTGCTATCGCTCCAGTCCCGGCAACCTGGAAATGTTTAAAGAAAGAAATTGGGGTCGGAGCAATAGTACAGCAGGGAGGGCATTTGTCTTGCACACGGCTGACCCGGGTTCGATCCCTGCCATTCCACAGGGTCCCCCGAGCACCGCCAGGAGTGATTCCTGTGTGCAGAGCCAGGAGGAACCCCTGAGCATCGTCAGGTGTGACCCTCCCCCTTAAAAAAAAAGGGAAAGAAAAAAATAAAAAATAAATTGGATACCAAGTGGTGGGAACATTCCAATTCTACTGCCTGTGGATGGGCCTAGGGGAGGACCCACAGCTCTGAGTCCGGGCACCCCTAGGTGCTGCTCTCTGTCACAGGATGAGGAAAACACCCGCCATGAAGGCTTTGCGGGGAAGGAAAGGGGGTGAAAGAGGCACAAGCATAGCTGGTGGCTCTGGGTTCCAGGCTCCCGCGAGAAGGGCCGGCTGGCTCTACAACTGTTCCGCTCCCTCCTTCCCCTAAAACTGTCTGTTGGGGGGCTGGAGCAATAGCACAGCAGGTAGGGCGTTTGCCTTGCATGCGGCCGACTCGGGTTCGATTCCCAGCATCCCATATGTTCCCCCGAGCACCGCCAGGAGTAATTCCTGAGTGCACGAGCCAGGAATAACCCCTGTGCATCACCGGGTGTGACCCCCCCCACAAAAAAAACCTGCCTGTTGGCCAGGGGGTCTGGAACGGAGAACCAGGCTGACCAGGTCAGTCCTCAGCCTGCTCTTTCCCGCTCAGCAGCCCGGCTACTCCAACAAGGCACGACCAGGATGGGGTCAAAGGCAGAGCATGTGCCAGGCCTGGGCCAGGGTGGGACCCGCAGTCCCTCCCATCCACGTCCACTCCCAGTCCAAGCCGCGCTATAAAAGTAAGTAAGCCAATAAAATCAAATTGTGGGCAAGTCGTTTCGACAGCCAGGCCTCGGTTTTCTCTGCTATAAAATGGGGATGATTGGGGCTTAGGAAACCGCCCGGGCCGTAGATCACACGCTGCCCTCAGGACAGAGCGTGGCAGATGGCGGTGGCGAGTGTGCCTGGTCTTGCCCAGTCACCCCGCGCATTGGAGACGTGCTCCCAGGGCCTCAGGGGAAACAGATTTTGTTTTTAATTGTGATGAAGTGAGAAGAAGAAGGGCCAGAGAGTGATGGCTCCGTTCCTGCTCTCCAGCGCCGGGGCCTGCAAAGTGTTAACTGCTGGGCCGGAGAGCACGTTTCTGAGCGTACCTTGGAATGAGGCTCTCCCCTCGGAGTTGTGCAAAGCTCGGAATTCCTCGTCAATGTGTCACTGATTAGGAGGCCAGGCCCCGCCCCTCCGGCTCGTTTTGGTTTGGTTCCATCACGTCTGCTCACATAAAACTGTACCAGCAAGTACATAGCTCCGCTCACACGTGCCACACGCGACTCCGTTTCCCTGGAAAGCCAAAGGCCTGGCGCCTGTCCCCACCCGAAGTCGGGCAGGACTTGCTCACGGCCCTGGATGCAGACTCCAGTGAGCCTGCCCACATCGGGACCAGCTGTCCACCCCCGACCCTCGCTGCCGAATGAGCCCTTCACTCCAAAGGGGGTCTTCTTGGGGCTGGAGAGAGAGCACAGTGGGTAGGGCATTTGCTTTGAGTGCATCTGACCTGGGTTCGATTCCCAGCATCCCATAGGGGCCCCCAAGCACCGCCAGGAGTGATTCCTGAGTGCAGAGCAGGAAGAACACCTGTGCATCGCCAGGTGTGACCCAAAAAGAAAAAAAGGGGGTCTCTCACTCTAAAGGAGGTACCCCGCTCTGAAGGAGGGGTCCCTCACTCAGAAGGAGGTCCCCTACTCTGAAGGGAGTCCCTCACTCGGAAGGGGGTCCCCACTCTGAAGGAGGTTCCCCACTCTAAGGGGATCCCTAACTCCAAAGGCGAGCCCTCACCCTGAGGGGCCCCTTGCTCTGGGGAAGGCGGTCACTGTCTGGACACATTCTGCTCTGTCTGACACGCTCGTGGATTACCAAGTAGGGGGCAGGGGGCGGGCTGACAGGGTGTCGCGCTGCCGCTCCCGAAGGGACCCTGTGGTCTCTGCCAGTCGCCCCTTCCTTCCGCCGCTGTTGCTCAGGAGGCCGAGGAGGCGGCCAAGAGTGGGATCTGTCCGGAATCCCGCGTATCTCAGCCTTTCAGATTCCTGGGGCAGATCAACTGAAGGTCATCCTGGACGGAAAACAAGCCTGCCTTGAGAATGTCTCCATGGGCGCCTCCTTGCGTGAATCCCAAACAGAATGAGGGGGTTCTGGGTATTTTGTGAATTTCCAAATTCGCAAGCCAGAGTGAGTGAAATGAATCTTCTTGTAGGGGCCACCACTGGTTTCGGCGCTTGCCTTGCACCCAGGTTCAATCCCTGGCGCCCCATATGGTCCCCTGAACACTGTCAGGAGTTTTTATCCCCAAAGAGTGCTCGCGCCCTGCTCACTTTAGGACAAATGAGTATTACAGACTTTAACTTGGACTGGAGTGATAGCACAGCGGTAGGACGTTTGCCTTGCACACAGCCAGCCCGGCCGAGCCGGGTTCGATTTCTCTGCCCCCCTCGGAGAGCCTGGCAAGCTACCGAGAGTATTCAATATGCCAAACACAGTAACAAGAAGTCTCACAATGGAGACGTTACTGGGCCCGCTTGAGCAAATCGATGACCGACGGGAGGACACACAACTTGTGCAGGAAGTCATCCACCACTCCTGTGAATGAACATTTGGGAAGGGGCGATAAACTAGAGGCCGCCGAGAAAACCCACTGTCGGCTGGGTTTTGTTCAAAGAGTCCACAGCCACCAAATGAACCATTTTCACAACACCGAGGAAAACGGTGAAGTCCCAGTTGTTTTCTGGCTATGTTGCTCTGTTTTCACTTTCCTCTTAATAATCATTTTTGGGGGCGTGCTGGAGACATAGTTCAGCGGGCAGGACACTCCCCTAATGCGCGGCTGATCTGGATTCAATCCCCGGTGTCTCACAGGGTCCCCTAAGAACCTCCAGGAGTAATTCCTCAGTGCGGAGCCAGGAGTAACCCCTGAGCATCGCCGAGTGTGGCCCCCAAACCAAAAATTAGTAAATAAGTCATCAACTTTTGGGGGAGGCTCCCAACTCCCCCCAGTGTTCGGAGAATCAGGAACCTTTTTTTTTTTTTTTTTGCTTTTTGGGCCACACTGGCAATGCACAGGGGTTCCTCCTGGCTCATACACTCAGGAGTTATTCCTGGTGGTGCTCGGGGGACCCTATGGGATGCTGGGAATCGAACCTGGGTCGGCCAAGTGCAAGGCAAACGCCCTCCCCTCTGTGCTATCGCTCCAGCCCCAGGAACCATTTTTGGCAATGCTCGGCCAACCAGGGGCTAGAGAGTTACTGTAGTGGGGATGGCACTTTCCTTGCACGCGACCGACCCAGGTTCCACCCCAGAACCCCATAGGACCCCCCAAGTCCACCAGGAGTGATGCCTGAGCAGAGCCAGGAGAAAGCCCTGGTCACTGCTGCTTATGGTCCAAAATCAAACAAGCAAACAAGCTTGGCCACCTGGGCTGGCTGCTCCACGCTGGGGACCCCGGAGCCCCAAGTACACGGCGCCTCGAGGGCCCTCCTGGCGGTGCTCGCGGGCCTCCAGGACTGTCCCCAGCGATGCTGAGGGGACCGGA